GCTGAACCTGTAAAAAAGGATTGTTGAAAGAATTTATTTAACAGGTAAATACATAAGGACTGTACTGAAGTCTATGTGTCCACCTGCAAGCCAGCTTAACTGTAAACTGGGCTGTACTGAGATTATGCAGTGGTCATGGTCAGCAGCCATTTTTATGGTTACTGTCGCTTATTTGTCAGTCAGCACACCACCAGTAACAGTTGCCAGCCACCATTGGACTGTATCTGTATACACTGAGTCACACAGGTCTCTTCACAATTCTGCAATTGGACATATGAGAGTCATATATTGTTCATGCTGCTATCAAATGACCCTGTGAAATATCTGGCCACACAATGTGGTCAAATGACAGGACAATGGAGAATACTGGAACTCTACCTCTTTGATATCTACCCCTTGGAAGATCTACTACTTCCACAGAAGCAGAGGCAACCACATCAATTCAAGTACACTTAAAGGTGATATTCATTGCAAGCCCCATTGTTGAATTTTCAATGCAGAAGAGGAGGAAGAAAAGGAGATACATATTAACATCTTGACTACTTACAGAAGCAGAAGACTCTTTATTTCCTATGTGACTTATGAAAAAGTATACAGATACCAAGGCCTGTAGTGAAGTGGCAACTGTTAATCCATACAATGTTTAGTTTCTGGTGAATTAAACATTTTCCATTATCGATCTGTGCATCATTATCCCACCCTTCTTCCAGAGGTTCATGGAAGTATACACGGTTCTCCCTTTTTGTCTTACAATACTTCTCTACTAGCTTAATGTCTCCCAGTGAACTTCATGGTGGAGTGGGAATTCAAGCCTGTTATCCCAGGTCCCAGTATAACACCCACCTACACCACACTGTACAACATGCAACACATACCAGAACAATTAAATGCTAGACAATTAATACTAGTTATAAAGAGCATGGCAGTGCCTCGTGTACAAGCTGCTCTAAACACACAGAGTACTAACCTTGGTGGTCAGTTTTTCAAACATACATTTACTTATCTAGAAAAGTAGATGGCCAATTATATAACCTAATTAAGAACTATACACAAATATTTCACCAATATTATATCACTGCCACTTCAAGAAAACTGCTATCTAAATATCAGTACTGAATGTAGATTGTCAGTATTAGACTCTGAGGGTCTTTGGGAAGAGTTTCGCTTTTCCAAAGTTACAGATGCCATCTCACTAGTGCATCCAAAAGTACAAATTGATTCTAAAAATGTGAGAATGGAATTTCAGCACTTTAAAAAAAATACCTTTCTCAAAGCATACTCTACTGTTCCATCATCTTCTGTTGAGAGGTCTAGCAGCTTTTCATAGAATGATTCATTGTAAGGCCCATCTATCTGTAATACATTCCTAATCAAAAAGACATGGATGAGAAAATGTATCATGTTACATGACATCTAGCGTCAACACTATTTTGAAATCTGCCTCAACCTTCTGTCTATTACTGTTTCACATAGGATTGCTAAAGGAACGGATAGTTTTCACAAGCAAGTCTGTTCCGCCCCCTAGTGGTCTATGTCTAAATCACAAGCAGCAACAACAGCGACATTCTACAAGGGAAAAGGTTACAAAACAAAGACATGCGCATAATATGGCATTTTGTATTTGGACGCATGGTTACTGCAAGGTAAAAAATACAAAAGGCAGAATAATCTGAGTTTAATTTGTCAAAGACATGCATGCTAGTCATTTTTTAAGCCACAGCTATACATAAGCTTTTTAAGTATTTATCATTTGAGATTTTAAATACACTAAAACTAAATTGTCAAACTGGTCCCTTCTACCTCTGCACAATACATCATACCAAGTCACAGTATGGCATTTCAGACAAATGGTATTTGTATTAGCATATTGTATTATTACAGAATGGGTCTTTGTATTAGCGTGAAAAAGGTTCTAAACAAATTAAGGTTTTTTTAAACAACTCTGGTTATCAAATGATAATGGATTTTCTTTCTTTAAACTGACAAAAGTTATCAACCACTAAGCTATGTTACACTAAAGTCTCTGCCACTGTTTCTGATTTCCTCCCTTGCTGAATAAGCAGGTCTACTAATCAACAACATTAGGTAAAACTGCAGAGGACAGAAGAACCTGACCCTCACTGAACTGAAACTGTTACAGAAACATGTCTCAATACATATAATAATTAGCAGTTCTTATCAACGGTTCTTCTTGTCATCGTAAGGAAAAATTGCATGTAGTTAGAACAGACAATGATTTTCTTAACAATGTAGAAGCCTATCCCTATAATGAGCTATAATTTCAACACATCAGTCATCTCTGTCTTAGATTATTGCAATCTTTCCCTGGGTAAATCTACTCCTTGTATGATTCTATAATAGTCCTGTACAGTCACACTGAAATTGCCTACAATAAAGTGTTGATTATTACTGTGCTAAAATATTTCAAATGTTTAACAACTAGAAGTCCAAGGTTTTAAGTGGAAATCCAATAAACAAGAAACCTTTACAACTGGATGTTTGGCAACAGGATACAAGAACTCCATACACTCTATACACTTTATTACCTCTCTTCAGGAAACTCTTCCAAGTATTGGTCTACTCTGTTATACAAAGGATAAATGCCCTCAATGTCCAGCAAATCCAACATCTGCACCTGAAGCGTTTTGTAGAGCAGGCAATCCCTTGGCAAACCAGATGTCTCTGTTTTATTTTTACCTGAAACAAACATGTTTTCAAAACTTGTTTTAAAAACATCTCTCTCTGCAATAAAGTGGCAGAGTGTGAAATTAGAGCAAGGAACACAGTCAATTTAAAAAATTTTAAATGGCAGATTTGCATCCAGTTACACAATCCTGCATCTCAATCACTAAAAAGGAAACAAAGACATATTCTTTCACAGTTCAGTTGAAGTTTGAAAGGGTGTTTCCAAGAGTTGCTATATCTTATTGCTGCCCATGATTTACACACAAGGATGATCCAATCAGAGACTTACAAACTGCCAATGCCTTGAAACTGTGCACTATTCACAGAGTGCTGTGCTACAATTTTTTCAGCAGGTTTGGAAAAACTGGTTTCCCTATGCCCATAAAATTATTCAGAAATAGAGAGTAAAGAGATGCAAACTTTTAAAAATATATCGTCTTTGTACAGTCAAGCATTGGTCTGGATCCCAAACAAGGTACCCCAAGTTCACCAGCATTCCTCTCCACCCTGCAGCTATTTCCAGGGTCACAGGGTACATATCAATGCTCCCTCTAAGCTGTGGAGTCTTGTGAGCAAAAGTGCTACTTTGTGAGCTACTAGCATTAAAGCTGTGAGCAAACAATTTGGCTACTACATGAATTAGTTTGCTCTGGTGCCATCCTTCCTGAGCTAGGACAAAAATGTGTGAGCGGGAGGCTAAAAAAATGTGAGCTAGAGGGAACACTGGTACATATGGAGGAAGAAGCACACAGGTCAGGATGCTGCAGGGGGTAAAATCACCCTCTCCTCCCTTAGAACAGCAGAGCTCCATTCCAAGAAGAGGAAGGAAAGAGCAAAACCATCCCCCCTTCCACCTGCCACTGCAGCCTCCCAGATTCTTGAGGCTGTTATTCCACCTGGGTCCCACAACACCCTGCAGATGAACGGGTCAGAAATGGCCACTGGACAGGCAGGAAGATCAGCAACCACCCAAGCCTGTTGCTGGTGGATCACAAGATCTAACGCATTGTATAATATGTACATTTTCTACATGGGTTTCTGTTAAAGATTTGTTAATGATTATATAGCATTCTAATAATTGTTGCACCATAAACCATCTTCTATAGAAATTGTTTTTTAAATTTCACATGCACGAAGAACTGGAATGGCTACAACTAGTTTTAAGTGCTATACCCTAGCACAGGGTCCCCCAAAGTTGTGGGCACCGTGGCACCCACCAGTACTTTCCCTGGTGCCTGCCTAGCTTTTTAGAAAGTGGATTGGACCATCGTAAAGTGGCAGGACTTGATATTAACTGCTGTCATTCAAATGAAAGGGTTTTTGACGACTGCAAAAGCAGCCTCAGCCACTGGAAGATCAGGAAGACAGGAAAGTGCCCAGGGTTTCCTTAGTCAATGTGTGGGTCTGTTACATTTTCATTCTTCTTATCCCCCCTTCTCTTTCTCCCTTCATCTCCTTTATTCCCCACTGTGATTCTTTTGCAAAACCAGGCTCAAAGTATCACACTTGGCTCTACCTCCTTAGCACTCATCCTCTCCCAAAATCCCAAAGGTACCTGCAGCCTCAAAAAGGTTGGGAACCCTTGCCCTAGCACATATTGTTTTCTTCTGGAAAATCTACAGCACATCATCATGCCAGACTGCACCACTGCACAATATTACAAAAAAATTAATAACTTGCATAATGAAACATTTATCCTAATGACTCAAGTTAACAGCAAAACAGCAGCATGACAGAGGGAAGCAGGAAATAGGAGTGTGGAAGAAGAAAAAATGGTATATTTCCATTTCAGGTATATCAGACCAGGAAAATATTTGTAAAAAACAAATTTCACAAATAACAATACTGGTATAGTATTCGGTTTGGGGAAATATTTGGTAATTCCCAATATATTCGGGTCTATTATACCCAGGGGGAGAGTGAGAAGGCGTGTTTAAATGCCTTGCCTTGCCTCCCCAAGCCCCCTGCCACTTCCACTGGTCAGTTTCACTCCCTGCCGGGTTAGGACATATTTTTTTAAATGAGCTTCGAAAAATAGGCTTGCAAATTGAGTAACACAAAGAGGCATGTGTGGTGTATGTCTTCATATGCAAAAATGCATGCTTTGCTACCAGACATCAAGAATGACAGCACACTAACTCAAAACAAGAGTTTCACTTTGGGTAGTAGAGCACAGTGTTGAGGGGCAAGGAAATTAGGATACAGTAGCCTCACTTCACCAGAACAGCAAACTTCATTTGAACTTGAGTTCTATATGGGCAGTTCAAAGTCAGAAAGTTCTCACCATTTCTTATAAGCTCTTTAGTGAAAGCACTGGCTTCACAATAACTCCTTCCCTGTGAGGTAGGAACTGTCTTCATATCCCCTGCTTTGCAGTCATCTGTGCTACTTAACAGAGTCATCGTGATTACGTGGATTAATTCTTTCAGAATTGTCCTTGTACAATGTGGCCCACTGACCAGGCCATTTGAAGGAAAGAAGAAAGGCTTCAGGTGGCAAGCAAGTTCATTCAGATCAGAGAGCGTGTCTTCATCTTTACAGCCATAAATTAGCTCACCGTTCTGTAAAGGAAAGGGGAAAAGATTAAGTGCTTTGTTTTAAGTACTACTGAAGGAGACTTTGCATGCTTCTTGAATGCAGTCTTTCAACATAAGGAATTTAGACTCAAACCATGCTCAGGTGCAAAGCTCACTTGAGAACTTTCAGCAACTCACTACTGCTCTGAGTAATATACCTCACATGCTCGCTGCAAGGCTAGAAATCACTCAGCATGGAACTAGGGATGTTCACCAGCAGAGACCTGGGTTCATAAACCGGGGTAAACAAACAGCTGAAAAGTTGCAGTGAGTGTGTATGTATATGTGTAAGTTTGGAGGGAAGAAGCAGTATATGGATAAGAGGATGCCTAATCCCTAACAGGCAGATCACACTTTTCTGCTCCTTCCCAGCCACGGCAAACATGAATGGACTTTGCACCTGCACAGAGCAATGGTTTCCAAAATCTATGATTAGGCACAAAAACCTCAGAAATGCAGCTGTGCCCTGAGGAGAAGAGTCACACCTTGCTGCCCAGTTCTTTCCAAAATACAAGAGTGCACAGCATAAAGTTAAAGGCACCTGTCTGCGTGGAAGGCAGGTGGATTGTATGAATAGTAAACAACCCTGAATTCAGCACACTGAGAAGTGTGCAACAGTGTCTGGTGAAACCTCAGAATCCAGAGAGCACCAAGCAGGATTTCTAATGACTGGAACAAAAGAAGGGGTTATATCCAGTACATCGGAGACATACCTTGGTTCACAATGAACCTAAGTCTTAAGAGTCCGCAATTTCTACACCATACCCCTATTTAAATGTCCCTGGGAAGAAAAAAGTGATTTCCCAGATCCTGTTGACTCACCCAAATGCTTAGTTACATTGAATGATACAGCACTAGGCCTGGAATGGGAAGGATCTTGTGTTACCATTCAAAAAAGGAGCAACATATATATTAGGAGACCGTTGATCTTCCCAGTTAGATCCAGCACTACTTTCTGCTACTCAAAAAGGGAGATCAAAAATTGCACTTCCACAACAGTGTTTTTATTTCCACAGAAGATATTAGTACATTGAACAATCTTTGGGGAATGAGATAAAGAGGCACATCTCTAGGAGCACCATTATCTATCCAAGAAGCAAAGTACTGGATTGTTTGCTGTATTTTTAAGTATTACAATTTATCAGCTAAGGCTGAGAACTGTTGCCTGGTTAAGCATACTAACAGAAGGTGGGGGGGAAGGGGCCACAGACAAGATGAACAAAAGCAAAACCTTACCTTAAATATTTTTAAATTATTCTGAGCCTCTTGTAACAGGCTTCTCAAGGCAAAGTGCATTCGTTGTTTATTTCTAAAAGGAAACGTATATGTTAAATGGATAACTATGTTTTAGAAAGACCAAAACATTCTTTTTCCCTTTGCCTTCTACTCTAAAACAGCCTCCCCCTTGTTAATTCTCCACAAATATCCTGCCTCTTCTAGAAGCTCCCTCTCAAGACAAGTTCCTTTAATAGAGCATGGCTAAGGACAACCTTATTTTGTCTCAGCGGCTCTTCCCTTCACCATGTCACTCATTCATATCTTTCCATATCCATGTATAGCTCCAATGACTAACAGACAGAAAACCCTCAAACTGTTCTTTGAATTCAAACAGCATGTATTACACTTCTGCCACTACACAGATCTCCAGCAATTAATAAAGAACACGAATCAGATTTTCTTACCCTGAGAAGAGATCTAGTGGACAGTATTTGCTAGGCCGCTTCCACTTTCCTTTTGCTACCTGTAAAAACACCAACACGTATTGAGTTGAAGTACAGAATCTCAACCATTCATTCACTTATTCTTTGAAACATCTTCAAAATGCAAGCAGGCGCAGTTTTTCGATTCTTCTTAAGAGCTTAACTGCTCGCAGATGGTGCCCAAGACAAAATGTTAGTTCTATCATAACAGGATTTCCATTAAAAACACACATGCAAAAAGGACAATGTGGACATGCTCTCCAGGGGACAGGGCATTACCTTTAGATGCTGATGCATGCAGTAACGACATACTTTGTGTTTTATCTCTTGTGAAACATGGCTGGAGAATGGAAGGAACCCACATTTGGGCTGCAAAAATATTAAATATATGTTAATATATTTATTTATTTCGATTTCAACCTCACCCTTCCCTGCACTGCAGGGCTCAGGGTGGGTTTCAACAGAATAAAATAGTTAAATTTTAACAGTACAATAATAAAACTGTAACAATGAATTTATGACGGCGCATAATTACAGTTACAATGCACACTATCCAGAAGTATAATAAAGCCAGTGGATTACAGTTACAATGCACACTATCCAGAAGGGATGTCTGAGGAGGGACAGTGCTATAAAACTTGGGGTTGGCATTCATCTAACCATTGTTATCCTTGACCATACACCTGGTGGAACATCTCCATTTTACAGGCCCTGCAGAATTGTTTCAGGCCCATGGTCTCACTAGATAGAGTTCCACCAGGTAGGGGCCAAGGCCGAAAAGACCCTGGCCCTGGTTGAGGATAGCCGGATTGATCTCAGGCCAGGGATCACTAGCCAGTTGTCATTAGCTGAGCGTAATGCTCTTTGGGGGACATACCAGGAGAGGTGGTCCCGTAGATATGCTGATCCTGGTCCATTTAGGGCTTTGAAGGTCAGTACCAAACCTTAAACCTGATCCAGTACTCAACTGGGAGCCAGTGCAGCTGGCAGAGCACTGGTTGAATATGTGCCCTCAACGAAGTACCCGTGAGGACCCACACAGCTGCATTCTGGACCAGCTGCAATTTCCGGATCAACCTTAAGGGAAGCCCTGCATAGAGCGAGTTACAGTAATCCAGCCTGGGGATGACCATTGCCTACTTCCAACCATTTAAAAGGAAGTACAGAAAACATTCCTAAGACTGACTGACTCACTCCCACCCTCTGTTCCTACTCTTGCTCTGTGAGTAACCAAGCCAAGGAATATCTATATATGGTCATTCATCTGAACTGCTGTTTAATAAATCCAACATATAGGTGGTGATTTTTAGACTGACCTGAGCAACTGAGTTCTTCAGTTCTATAAGTCAGTCAGATATGTATGTGTCCAAGAGGTCATTACACAGAAGTCTTTTGCATGGTCAAGGAGTGGTTTTTTTTTTTCTTTATTAGGATCATTCCTTTAAGCCTTGCTTTCTGCCTCTTACCTCGTTTGTTCCCACAACCACAAGCCAAATAAGCCCAACAGTTTGGGCATGCTATCAAGTCTACATGATTCAGAATCTTCTACAACTTGAAGCAACTAAAACATGAAGAATATAGAGTATCACTGTAGTTCTGAAGGAGACCTACAGCCACACTGTTTGCGTTAGCTACATTTTAGAGAAGCTTGGGACTTTTAACTTCCAGGAAGTAAACCTGCGGAACAGCACAGGAAAATGGTATGCATCTTCATATGTTTAAACGAGAGCCAATTTTTTAAAAAAAATCTTGTGTGATACTCACTTTTATCTCTACACAAAGTATTGGTCGATGTTCAGCAAAATGTAGCCTGGTGAGGTTAGGAAGGCACATAGCATAGCCACTAAGAGCATCCATGTCTTTATCACAGCGAGACTCTGTGGATATAAGGAAAAATATTAACTTGAATCCCTGCGACTTTATAAGCATTACAAATAAAATACATAACCAGCTGTTAATTACACCTAAACTCACAAGCCAGAAGTCCTACACAAGGGTGTGACAGATTTTTGAAGAAATGGGAATCTCCCCTGCACTTAAGATATAATGATCGAAGAAGAAAAGAATCCTCATAATGTTGTTGCCCCCTACACACAAAATACTGCAGGTTGTTTTTTGTTAAACTATGTAGAAGAGGAAATGATCTGAAGGAAAGGAGTGCTGTTCTACACCATCTGTAATATTTCATGTCAACATACAACGTATTTTCAAATTTTATTTATTTATTAGGCTTATACCCCGCCCTTCCACATGGGCTCAGGGGCGGCTAACAAGAGGCAAATGCCATACATGACACTAAAACCAGATAAAACAATCAGATTACATTATACATTTAAAATCGGTGCTCACAACAATATATCATAGTTTTAAAAAGTATGACTACTGTTGTCTACCTCTAACATGACATACTGGATGTATTATGGTAATACACTACTGAGATGTATTCAGCAGCACCTTTAAGACCACGGAAATAGTGCAGTATATGATCTCTTGTGAGCCAAAGGTTATTTCATCAGATACAAGTCCTTATATATCCAGGACAGTGTTACAAAGAAGGCCCAGCTAGACTCATGATGCAAGTACCTGACCAATGGGATCCAGTAGGAATGAGGATCCACCAGTCCTTACAGCCAGGTCAGAAGGTGGGAGGGTATTACAAAGAAAGCCCAGCTGGACTCAAGAGGATGCAGAAGCACCTGTCTCCAATATGACCCCTCCCACCTTCTGACCTGAAGAAGAGAAGAAGAAGAGATTGGATTTATACCCCGCCCTTCACTTGGAGTCTCAGAGCGGCTTACAAACTCCTTTCCCTTCCCCTCCCCACAACAGACACCCTGTGAGGTGGGTGGGGCTGAGAGAGCTCTGACACAAACTGCTCTTTTTTCAAGGACAGCTGTGCCAGAGCTTGTGACTGACCCAAGGTCACATCAGCAGGTGCAAGTGGAGGAGTGGGGAATCAAACCCGGTTCTCCCAGATTAGAGTCCGCACACTTAACCACAACACCAAACTGACCTGGATACAAGGATTGGTAAATCTTAATTGCTATTTGTATCTGACAGAGTGAGCGACTTGGACTCACAAACCTGCAAAATTCTGTTGGTCTTGTAAGTGCTGCGGGACTCAAATTTAGTTCTAATACTACAGAACAGTACAGCTACCTACCTAAGGTGTTTTGCATGGCTTCAAGTTTTCTGGAAATTTTACACCTCTAGCCACAACCACATAGACACTGGATGCTGCATTATATTAAGGTCATAAAAACAGGGACCCACGAGGATTACATCTTATTTTCCTGTCCCCCACTTTTTCTACTCCCCTGGAAACCCCTAGCCTCTCCCCTTTTCCTGATCCCTTCTCTCCTTCCCATCTACCAGCCAACCTATCTTTGTCTGCCCCTCTGTTTTCAAGCATTCCTTCCCACTGACGGTCTCTCCCTGGGAAAATTCTGGTGTGCAGTGCTGGCCACCAGTCTGAGACGGGCCCAGTTCTATGGTAGAGAACCTGCACAGACCTGTGGGGACACCTCATCTTCCCCTGAATCCCCCTCCTACCACTATTTCCTCCATACCTCTTTCTGGCAGACCGCATATCCTCGCCTCTCCCTGCTTCCTTTTCTCCTTCCCACCCACAAACCAACCTACCTTTTATCTGGCCCTTCTTCACCTATATTATTTACACCCAACTTTTCCCAACTATGGGGACCCAAATCAACTTACATCATTCATTTTATCTTCACAACAGCCCTGTGAGGTGGGTTATGCTGAGTGTGCAAATGGCCAAGGTAACCCAGTGAACTTCCATGGTAGAGAGGTAATTCAAGCAGGGTCCCCCGGATCCTAGTCTGAAGCTCTAACTGCTAAACCACACTGGCTTTCATAGTGAGGCCACTGTTGAACAGTAACAAGAAGGCAGAACTGAGTGAGTCATGCAAGTTAGGTAGCAGTAAGTCATCCAGTGATCAATAGTGGGTCTGGCCCCAATGAATCCTCCCTCAAAGGCCAAAAGACCCCTGGAAAGGGCCCTGCCCCATCCACCTGTCCTTTCATTGACAGAAACCCAGGCTTGAATGCTGGCAATAGTGCTATGGTTGCCTAGCAATGGCCACAGAGGACATTCATGTCTTAAAGGTACATGTACTGTTCTTATTATTTGGTGGAGTTAACCCCCTTGTATTATTGTATATATTGATTATGAGTAAGGACCCACAAGAAACTTGGGGGAGGAGGCATCCCATTCTCCCCTTGCATTTCTTCTCCTCTCCCCCATCCCTTTGCTCAGTCTCTCTCTCTTTGCCCATCCCCCACTCCTCTCACTTTCTCTGTCCACCCACACCTTCTCCCTCCTCCTATGACAACAGTCAATCCTTTTCTCCCGCCCCCCCATCACTTTCTCAGACCCTGCCTGCCTGAGAGGCTGGTTAGGAGAGGCTGCAGTGGTGAGGCTGGTGGCGGCAGTTCTGTGTGAGCACAAGAGAGGCCTCGGGGGGGTATTAATCCCATCCTTCCCCATATAAGTTTCTGTACATTCATGGGGAGGTTCCCCAAGTTTGCAGGAAAATCTCCCTTCTCCCCACCTGGCCCAATCTACAGAGGGGGCCAGGTTCAGAATTAGATACATTGAAAATTCTAAAACTCAGTGGCTCTCAAACATTTTCCTGGCCTATCCTCTTCAGAGTGCAGCTAGACACAGTGAGAATCCATTTCTCCTTTGTGACTCTGAGGTCTGCCTGACTCACAGAAAGTGAGAATGCTGCCTACCTAACACGTTTTCTACAAATACAACCAAATCCCTACAGGGTAGTAGAAAGATCTCCCTGCAGTTCAGGCTGATGATTACGTAAATAATCTAGGATTTCCTACCTTGTCACAAGGCACACCAAAAGCAACTCTTGCAGAAAACATAATGATGATTGCAAAATAAAGCCTGGGGCACTTAGCTTCACCTGTAACCTACTCAAAACCAGTGTGGTACAGTGGCACGCTGCTGACCATGAAAGCTGGGAATTCATGCTCAAATCCCCATGCAGCTAGATGGCCTCAAGCAATTTACTCTTTCACCTAATCTACCTTGCAGGAGTTCCTTTGAGGTTACAAACACTGCTCTAGCTCCTTGAAAGGCACAAAGGCAGAACAGACCACTTATGTTCACCACACACAAAGCCTCTATATTAGTTGTAGCAGCGGGCCAACAACCTGTTGTGTAGCCCTTCCCCAAAGCAATGCATGAAATGCAAGAATAAAAGTGAAGTTCACACGAGTGAATTTAAAAGTAGAGAGAAAGATGTTTTCTATCCAAAGCTTTCTACATTACAACCTATTGAGCCAATGTAGTGAAGCATCAGTCAAGAACTGGGCTAAAATCTCCACTCGGCTATCACAGGATGGCCCCAGGACAGTCTCGGCCTAACCTACTTCAGAATTGTTGAGAGAATAAAAAATACAAAGGAAGAACCATGCAAGCCACATTGGAGGAAAGGCAGAGTAAATGGGATAAGCTTTGGGTTTTAACATTAACTTGACAGAATTCTGCAGATTACTGCAACAGCGTGAAAAGTTACTGTCACAGCAACCTTTGCTTTAAAGTAGACACAGTCCTATGGAATACTTTGTGAGAAAATGGAGCTTTTAATTTACCTTGTGCCTGATGCATGGCATGAAGCTCATCAGACGCATGAGGCTAGGGTGGGGTATTCTATGCAGAAAAACTGGAATTGCCAAACTGTTTCATAACCACAACAGCATCTGTCATATGCTGCTTAGAGGCAACAGTTTGCCAGCCCCAGTAGCTGGTAAGTTTATGAAGAGAAGTAAATAATTTATCCCACTGAAATTAACAGCCACACAAAAAGTTTGCATTAATCAGAGGGACCAGAATTTAGCCAGCAAAAAGTGAACATTCAAATATCCAGCAGAATCTCTCTTGCAGAGAAGGGCTTTCCATTATTTTGCATCCAAATGCAGAGTGAGCCAGCTTCAGCCAATATATAATAGACCATTGTATTATGATTAAAAAATTTTTAATGAGGGCAAGTTTAACTCAGGATAGATTTATTTTGAAAGATTATTGTAGTCCTGACTGCCTTTCCAGAAAAATTTATTTTGAAAGATAGTCTATTTGTTATTGTAGTCCTGACTGCCTTTCCAGAACATGACTTTAACTGTTAATACGCAGGCTTCAAAATTTACTTTAGGGAATAAGATCTGAATGTGCACATATACTTTCCCATAGCACCAAAAAAAAGTACCAGAGGGATGGGTGACCATGCATCCAACAAAAAGGGGACCTAACTCCTAATCTTTCACACCCCTACATCATGGAATGAGGTATTCCCCATTCCTATACATCCAAATGTTTGTTCAGGTGTTTGTTCTCTGAAAGCAGAGCTGGTTCCATACAGGATCTTTAATCTATTACCCTGCTACACAAATAGAAGACACAAATTTATTCCTAAATAAAATACAAAACCAACTCAGGGTTTCAGCCTTGCAATTATATCCCTACATAAACGGTGATCTTGAAACACAGAATACAGCCTGTCAGGTAGTCAGGATCCATCTGAAATCCATTTTCATACACTTACCATGCCCCAGAATGCTTGAAGATAACCAGGTGAAGGGCCAGAGATCACATGCCTACGAAAGTAACTAGGGGAATCCATCCTACCAGGATGAGGGCCATCCATCCAGATGAAGCCTTCTTCAAGATACAGTTCCATTTGGGAGTCTACATGTAAGTAGCACTACCACTCTGCTGCATTCCTGCATTCCAAACCCCACACTACTGTCCCTCAGGAGTACAGGGACGCCCCATTCTGGAGGCAGGAAATATAGCTGTTTATCTCTCACTCAGAATAGGCAAAGGAAAAGTAGCCCTACTGCCACCTTTCAAAATTTTAAGTAGCTGAGGACTGTCTTTCCCCTTTCTCTTCATTTGTGGTACAAGAAAGGCAGTAAACTTGCAGGCAGTTTAAAATACAGTTTTTAAAAATGAAAGTTTTTTTTAAAGAAACAGTTGAACAATCAAAAGCAAGATCAACATTTTAGGTAAGCATATTATTATTTAAGTCCCTTACCTGGTCGCTCTGACTGGATCTTTAAACAAAGCTGTCTTACAAAGTCCAAAGATAGCTGCACAACCTCCTAAAAATTAACCATTTCACAATTACATTTTTAATCAACAGCTACATACACAGAGAAATAATATTTTCAGTAACACTTTTAAAATACTTTATTTTAAATGGAGCCACGTCAAAATTGCTTTGAATGGATGAAAGTATGAGAAAATGTAAACAAAAAGGGAGTCTAGAAGCTAAGCTATGCCAAGTATCCCCTCTCCTGTGATGCTGTTCAACTTCTACAAGAAAATGCTAAGAGAGATCATACAGATATTTGGAGCGAGGAGTCATGAATACAGGGATGAAACCCAACTCTATTTCTTCTTTTCAAATGAGTCAGGTGAGATAGAGATGTCCTGAAACATTACCTGGATGCAGCAATGAGGACAAGGGTCAATAAACTGAAACTCTAGATAGATAGCACTGAAGCCCTGATGGCCAAAAAGGCCACTCAGCATTTCAGTTCTGAACAGAACAGTCTTCCCTCTCAAGGAGGACAGTTGCAGCTTTGAAGTTCTATTTGATCTGGGTCTGAGAATGGAGGTACCAGTCTCTTCTGTGGCTTGTAGAAAGCTGATGGGCACACCAGCCCTTTCTTGAGAGGCAAGTTTTGGCCACAGTAATGCATATCCTAATTACATCCAGGCTGGACTACGGCAAAGTACTTTATATAAGGCACCTTTGAAGGCTGTCTGCAAGCTGTGAGAATTATAGAAACCACATCTCAATAGTTTGTAATGAATTTCACAGACTATTGGTTTGACTTCAGAGACAGTTCCAACTGATGGTTGTCTTCTGTCAAGCCCTACATTGTCTGGAACCACGGCACCTAAAAAGTACATCAAATTATTCCTGCATGCCAATTCATGTCATCTGTTCTGCAGAAGGTTGGATGGCTGGGTCCACCTTGAGAGGCCTTTCTCTATGAGTCCCAACTCCCAGGCATGAGATTGGGTAAGCACAAAGCGTTTTGCTGTGGTGATCCCTCCTGACAAGGGGAAAGGAGGAGACAATTTATCCAAAGGGTTGGGAAAACACAAATGTATTTTCCTGGAACCAAAGACATCAACTTGGCACCAGGTTAACACAATTATCTCCCCAAGCCTTTGGATAAATCATTCTCCTTCCCACCTAGAACTATTTCTTTATCTGATTATTCAATATTCAAGTATACTGCTAGTTTCAAGGTTGGTACTACTGTTTTTTTTTTGGGGGGGGGGAGATTTTATATTTTTATCCGATTAATGAGCTGCTTTTAATTGTTGAAACTCTTCCTCAGTCGTGTTTTTACTGTTTTAAGTCAAAATCCTGGCAGCAACTGGCAGCAGAGTTAGGGTTGTTTGTTTGGATGTTTTAAGTCAAAATCCTGGCAGCAGAGTTAGGGTTGTTTGTTTGAAAATAAGTATTTAAAACTGGCATCTATTTAAATAAATATTGATCAGCAATATGTTCAAGGAGGCATGGTAAAGGTTCTCCCTTGGTACTGGACAGCATTCAACTGAACCCTAGCTGTAGTGCCCAGCACCTCTTGGTACAATTCTGCCACACTGTTCCTCTTGCTACTCTCAATTGCAAAAATAAATAATTAAAATGTCAGCATTAGGACACTAAAAAGAGAAATAAAATAGCTTGAACAATGTTTCAGAATAAAAATCACACTGTTGGTTTTAGCTGTTTTTTATGTGGCTCTATAAAACAGATTCAGAATTGTAAGGAGGTTCCTTCAAGTGATGCTACGTTCCAACTATTACCTATCTACCCTTTATAGGCATCATCAAAAGTTCATACCATCTGCCACAGCACATTAAGCATCATTATAGGTTTTTCTAATTCATTTTCTTCTCTTTTCCTACCATTTATCTATTTTGCCACAGATCCAGCATTTGAACATCTATCCCTCTTAGTTAATATTATCAGACAGATCCATGTGGCAACAACACCATGAATCATCAGTACTAAATATTCCAACTGAAGGATAAGAGGACACGATGATGGGAGGAGGCCCTTGTGAGGTGCTCTCTGCCCTGAAAGGGCAGGGCTGATAATCCTTTCCACTGTACTGAGGAAACTGCACTTTTCAAAAATATATAATTGCTGTCAAGTATTTGGCATAGCAAATGTTTATATAAAAGCTTGATACATTTTGATTCTGACTCGGATAAGGACGTAGGCAGCAGAGGATAAAGCTTACATAGGAAAATTTTATAGTTAATCCACTCCCTTTACATTAAAATCTGTTTTTACCAGGACAGCATTTTAACATTAACATACAAAAAGATGTTTAATCTTCCGTCTTTTGCTGACGCACTAGACCAGGGGTGTCAAACATAAGGCCAAGGGGCTGGAACGGGCCTGTGCAGGGCTCTTACCTGGCCCGCAAGTAACTGATATGTATGGAAATGTAAGGTACTCCCCATTTATGGTATCCCTCGGAAAAACCTAGTCTTGCATATGATTAAATACATTTATTGGGGCTTTTGTGAGTTCCCCAGCAAATCAGTTGCTTTCACGGCTAGGAATCAATGGCCTTTGTTTGTATTTTGAGTAAAAATAATGTTGTTAATTGGATTTGCCTGTGTCCCTTATAAAGTTTGTATCTCCTGTACCTGCCATTACATTTTATGGCACAGATTGGCCCGGCCGACAAAGTGACATTTATGTCAGATCTGGCCCTCATAACAAATGAGTTTGACACCTCTGCTCTAGACCCTTCCATAGTAAAGTTGGCTCTGTAAAGACCAAACTAGACATATATATTTTTAACAAGCCTGAATTAATTTTTTTAAATAAATTCTTTCCACTTCAACATTTTAAGGCTTGAAAGAGATCATATTTAGATTTTTTTTAATCTATTAAGGTGAACCACTTCCCATACTCTTCCTCTAAACTGAAACATAACCCATAATGATCAGGTAATATTCTAATTTGTAGCTGAACAACACAGAACTTCATTCAATTAAGAGAGCAGGGAAGTCATCCTCCTCCTGCAGCTATCTACCAGCTTTTCTGTGTTAAAGATTTAAGCATAATACGTCTAAAGATATCAACAGGGGCTTTTGTGTTCTCTGAATAGGCATTGTTCTATGTTCTGTAACCTGAAAGTTATGCATGAATACTTCTCACATTCTTTGTACAAAATCCAAGCCACCTTGGCTACAGAATTTCATAAAGGAACAATAGTAGGACAATATTACAAGAAACAAAAAAGGATAGTTACCCCGTAATGGACATATTTTTCCCCAAAAAACTGCTTCATAATGTGCTTCCCAAAGTGTACTATATTCTGAAGTTGGTGAAAGATATCTTCTGGTGTCTAAAAAAATTAGATATTCAAACAGGTCACAACACTAATAGGCAAACTGATTACATTCAAGTGACTTGTACTATGTATTTCCAAGCAAAAGAAATCTACATATCAGAAATTAAATTTAACTTTTGAGTTGTTAGTATTGTTTTAGTTATGAGCTGCCACAAGCAGGTTCAGGAGAAGCCGCTTACATATGTTCCAAATCAATCTGTCTTTCTGCATCAGCAAACAAGGAGACCACATGGTTAAACAGCTGCTCAGACTGATAAAACTTCAGGATCACCACTGGGAGGGGGCTGTTTTCAAAATCCCACTGGCAAAGAAATTGTTTGTTCAAAATATATTTACAAAAGTTGCAAAAATAGATTGAAAATGCATGGCTCAAGAGTCTTTTAGTTAAACATATGGAGAGAAGGGGGAAGTCACAAGATGCTACTGTCCTGGACGAGTAGGTAGCTCAGAGAAACTAATTAGCAGCTATATACTTTGTTCATGGAGGGGGGGAATGCATGGAGTCATCTCTTCAATTAGTATAAATATGATTGACATATCCCCAAGACCTGTTCAGGAGCTCCCTGGCACTATACAGCACTCCCATCTGTGGCTTGGGGGGAGGGGGAAGTTTCAGGACAGAAGGCATCTTTTCTCTTTCCCAAAACTTGACAATAAGTAAATGTATGTAATTAATATGTTTGTTAAAAGCTAGATTAATCAAAAGTTTAAGAAGCCTTTATAATTCATTGTTTTAAAGCGAACTTCTTATGAATTATTAAGGTTAGAAGCCTCCTCAATTCTACGAAAAAGATGGGTAATAGACCCAAAATCAGCATAATACTCTTTCCTTGGAGGGCTATGCCTTCTCTTTAAACACTGGACAAAAAGGAACAAATCACAGTATCTCACCTTGCTTCGGTTTGGGGGAAACTTCAAGAAACGTAGTACTATGCAACGCTGAAAAGAAATTTGCATTACATTAGTATAGCTTTCTAATTTAGCCACTTTAAGGTAAATTAACTATTTCAGTACAATTACTCTGAACATTATAAACATCTCTTTCGTCATTTGTCAGCTAGGAATATACACGCTGGGAATTCTGTGTTTTCCTGCTTTAAGAATGCAAGGATTACTACCTTCATGGATCAGATAAGTCCATTTAACTCAGCACCCCATCTGCCTTCTGTGACAAACAAAAAGAAAGGATGCACCAAAACAGCATCAAGACAGGCAGATGGTTCACAGGTATTTATCCTACAAACCAGAAAAAAAGCAGTACCTAATGAGTTTAACCATGATGTCTGCCACAGAAATGTTCAACATACTTATATGCAACATATATTCCTCCCCACAGCCTAGATCACTAATACGTTTTTTCAAAATATAGCTAATAATAATGCCAACAAAAATGACCTATTACACATAAACTGTATTTTGGAAACAAATGTCTATGGAACTATGCTTTAGGGAGAGATACAGCTATACGTGACTTTCTCCTGAAGAGGTTGTCAACATCACATTCCACAATGAGGGCTCTTATGGTTTTACAGCTATTCTTGGAACTAGTTCATAGCTGCTCTTGAGAATCAAGCATTGGAAGTAGATTGTTAAATCACAGTAGTTTACCCTTTGCCAGTTTATACGCAGCACCTCCTAGAAACCTGAAGGAAGCAAAGATGTTCTTACTTTGTTCACAGCATAGGTCACTTACACACAAGTTGTTGCTGTTGGGAAGCATGTTTTTCCCCTTCTTCCCCAAAGCATCATGATGCTCTCATGAAACCCCTCAGATTTTCCTCTTTCCTGCAGTGTTTTGGGAAAGATCACAGCAAAGCAGATGGCGGACTAGTGGGTGGGAAAATCCAAATTTCCGCAGTTTCACCCAAATTTATATCATTTTCCCTGCCCCATCTCCATGGTGGCCATCCCCTCCTCTACCTGGGGGAGTTGGGTTTTTTAAAAAAATGGTAATTGATACATTGACATATGAATAATATGTCAGTTACTGATTTAATAGCCACCAGTTGTATACCGAGCTGTCACAGACACTGAACAACTAAAATGAGGGGGAAACCAAACTATGGCATCCTCGCTGCTATTGTGCTACACTGACAGCCATAGCAACAACAGGGAAACTACAGGAAAGCCCACTGCTGAGTGAAACAAACCAACATTCCATGCACCTAACATGGAATCAGCTCTGTCAGATTAGAAACCAAACCAAGACCTAAACTCTTCAACAGTAACATACTTTAGATTAAGGGCAAGATTCATCATTTGATCAGCAGAAGAGGAGTACCTCCCTCCCCACCATTGTTCAGATAACTATGAATAAGAACTGGATAAAATCATACTTTAAATCTGCAAATTTAGCTCTAAGCCAGCTATGGGCAAGTACATGCAACACCGGAGTTCTGTGACTGGAGCTTCTGATGTTTAATTTGGCCCTAAAATACAGCCACAGGTCAGCCCCACCCCCCATATTAGTTGGGGCCTAAGCACTGGGGAAAGGGGAGGTGAGCTCTCCTCCCCCCCACAGGCTATATCCTCAATTGAAAACACTTTCCTTTGGGCTGACTGAAACCCCAGCAAGGAAAAAACCCAACCATTAGTTATATTATGTCCATTGCCCCCCAACACACACACAAGCTTAAAGCAGCTGGGGGAGCACTGTTTTCAACTGGGTAAACAAGGGCGGGAAAATAATTAAGCCAACTTCCCAGTACCACCTTACCAAGCAATAACAGCCCCTCCCAGCTGCTTTTTATGGCCAAAGTATACATCAGCAATTCCATTCACAGAACCCCAGCATTCAGCACTATGACTGTGCAGCCAATTGTTTCAAACCTGGCTCTTCGCAACAGTTATGTTCCTTAATGTAAAATGTAACAACTGAACTTTAGCTCTTTACAAGTTTGCTTTCATATATATAACAACACAAAAGTTACTAAGCACTCTTTACTGAAAATCTGGGTATGAATAACTGTCATTCTTCCTGCAATCCAGCATTTTCAGGATTTTTAATGATTTTTCCCCAGGTTTTATTCTGTCTGGTGCAAGAACACAGTAAATACATGTTCACATTAAAAGTATGTTACTCTGTACTATGATTCTTGTTAGTACATGGTCTTTTTCACAACAGAAGAATCAACTCTGCTACACCTTACAGCTAAGCAGAAGACTCAAGACAGACAAAAGGCAGTATTTCTTCACACAGCCTATAGTTCATTTGTGGAACTCGCTGCCTCAGGATTGTGGTTTTAAAAGGGGAGTGGACAAATTCATGGATGAGTGGGCTACTAATCATGAAGGATATCTACTCTCTCCAGTACCAGAGGTAGTATGCTTCTTTAAAGCAGTTGCTGGGGAGCACAGGGTTCTACCTGGGGGAGTTGGGGTTTTTGCAGTCTTCCTGTTTGTGGATGCTGTTGCAGTCTTCCTGTTTGCGGACTTCCTATAGATACCTGGTTGGCCACTGGGTCAACAAAATGCAGGACTTGATGGGCCTTTATTCTGATCCAGCACGGCTCTTATGTTCTTTTTAAAGACTATATTCCAGCTTCAGTTTGAGAACTTTAGTGTATTTCTGATTGCCAGAGCCTATGCATTATCTTTTTCTTGCATCCTCCCTGGATCCAGAGGTGCTCTGTGAGCTCCATGCTTGGAATGCCCAGGCATATGCAGCCAATTCACACCAGGACCATAGGGAGAGGAGACGGTTTAAGCCTCCTCCTATGCCATTTTCCCAATCTGAAACAGCCACCAGGGGAAGGGCTTAACTTTCCACATCCCCACATCCCACATTTACGATACTGATCTGCCTCTACACCACCTGGGAATTGAGCTGAAAGCATGGATCTCACAGCACATGTCTCATCACTAGGAGAATGCAGCAAGCAAGGTGGTATGCACTGTTTTCTTGCTTTTGAACTCAGGGGCATTTTATTCAGCCTAAACTGGTGCTGAGTCTGTAACACAACACACTCCAGAAGCTGAAATATAATCATTAAATACCTGCTGGGGGTTTAAGAATTTTATGACCAATCATGTTTATGGGATGTATGTAGAATGGAGGGAATAAGGCATGTTTATCTTGATGCTGAATTGATCTGGAAAGGTTTTCCCATAGATCTTGCAGAGATGCAGAGAAATTGATAACATGCTTATTATGCATTTGTTTGCCTCTCTGTAATAGCCATATAGATGCAAAATAATTGGTATTTCAATGGGCTTTTTTGAAAGGCACTTGCAAGTTATTCTACACCTACAGCTCTGAAAGCATGATATCAAATGTCTAAGAAAATGGGTAGCCGCAACAATGTTTTACCCTGGCCTGTACTCCTGTCATCTTTTCTCAATAAATTCTGAACAGGCAATGCAGCTCTCCTTTCTGCTTGTTCTAGTTGTGAGTGAAAGAGGAGACAGTAATGAAACAAATGCCCTTCTTCCTTGGCACTTCTCCCTTGTGGATCTCAAATTTTACTAAAGGGACTTGTGACAGTATTCTTTGGTGCTACTGCTACACACCTTGAATCAAAAGAGCACCAGGAGAAATTATTTCTTTCCCTTACTTTGGGAGATTCCCCCTTGACACTTCAGAACGGTTCTATAAAGAAAAGAGCAGGAGTCCAGTAGCACCTTAAAGACTAACAACATATGTAGCAGGGTTATGAGCTTTTGTGAGTCACTGCTCACTTTTTCAGATAAAGTATTTCTCCAGCAAATGACTGCATAAAGAGGATGACAGTGTTGTCTCCAGTTAAGCGTTAGTTAGGTACCCACTTCCAAACTAATTCAGCAAGTACTATAATGTATTCCACATATTCCTACACTTAGTAGAAAAACCAAATACCTTGATAACTAACAACTGTAATCCTCAATCTCCTATTTCAGTAATGAATCGTGCACCCTCATAGGCTGAAATTGATCCACTATCTGGAATATCACTGCTTTCATTTCACTGAACTTTTCTAAAAATCAACAAGTACTGCCTTTAAAGTTTGAGAATAATGTTCTAAAATTCTAATACATTTTATATGGTATATACACATAAATTAGTCTGTCCATTCTTCAATTACTAATGACAACTGTGTCATCATATTTCAAATTAGCAACATGGACACTTGCTCTGCTCACTTAAGATGATCCAGATATAATTAATATCAACTGACTACCAGAAAAAATGAAGCTAAATGCATCAGAAAACATTCTCACATCTCCAGAAAGTATTCCCATTGTGATTACTAGTCCAACTTTGGTTATTCTAGCATGACTCTCATCTTGTACCTCAGGTCCAGAAGAACTGGAATGGCAGAGCCTGCCTGACCAACAGCCATTCCACCAGGTGCTTTTAAAAACTCAAAAGCTGATTAATACTTGCATTTAAATAAAGCCACATTGAGACATTTTAAAGGTGAAAAGTGACTAAATGAAACACAAATAAAATGTACCAGATTAATAAACAAAAGTTGTAATGATGCATTATCAAGCTAGCTAGAAACGGCTCCATACATAACTCTCTACTGATTTGAGAATATTTGTTTCAGTTTTGACCCAAAGAACTTTTTAAAAATCTTAAATATATCAACCCTTGTTCTGCAGTGTCTTATTTCAGTGATCCTAATCCTGGTTTTGTGGCACCTCAGCGTGTCACTGGTGTCCCTAAATTCTCAACAATTAATTCATTTAATATTGTTTAAAAAAACAAAACATGTGGCATAAAGCATTTGTTTTCTGGGCAACACTCAAAAATTTTAAAGCCCCGGTTTGCAAAAAAAATCTGGAAGGGGGACACATTGCAGCATTAAGCCCTCAAGCACTTGTAGGTTTAAGAAAAGGATGCCCTCTGAGATCTCAGTGGCTATTCTGGGGGTTGCTAGGCAACCAAGCCAATATTGGAAGCCTTCACGCCTTTCTGTCAATAAAAGGCATGGGGAGGGGAGGGCTCTTGGGCTGTT